AAGAAACACTCCCTTTTTAAGGTACGATAACCTTAAAAAATAGAAAATACAGAACAGCTAAGTTGTGGATTCTGTATGTAACTTTTAGAAAATCCTTGCTATTAGAGACATCTCTCTCTGAAGCCATTAAGTGAACTGCAGTCAGCATCCTGTTGCTCGTGCTCGCACTCCGCAGGTGTTACAAGCGTTTACAACTTCACAAATATGCTGCATTTAAATGGGATCATGTTTACCATGTTCACAAAAGAGTCTATATCAATGCCCCCCTGTGTGGTATTCACAACATTGTAAGTGGAGATTTTCTAAAAGCTTTAAGTACACCAGTTCATTTTCATGACTTACATGTCGTAAATACAAGCTTAGGAGTTCCATTAAACACAGCCATTATCCCAAGGATCTGTTTGGCGGCCATCTTTGCGGCTTTCTTGGATGTGCGACAAAAGTTGAGAACCGGCTTACATTTTTGGCTGGCCATCATAAAAATTTAAGACAAATGACACAATTTTCTGTGGAACTTGGCATAGGAAACTGATTAATAGGGTCATTTTCATGATTTTTACCTAGTTAGATATATTAAGAGAAAAAATATGAAAAAGTCTGATGAATTTACACATAAAATCTTGCATGTTTGTTTAGGATTTAAATATCATTATTATTAAATGCTCCTATGGCCTATTTCATTTGAACCATTGGCCTTATGATACCAAGTAGCTTGCTATTTGCAAAATACTTTATCAGCTACCATCACAAAGCAACCAACGGCAAATTGATGTAGAGTAGCCAAGCTACAGCAAACTGGGCAGCCAACAAGCTAACCGTAACCTAACTTAAGGTTAGCTTGTTGGCTGTAGCTAAGCTACACTGCATGGATCTGCTGTTGGTTGCTTTGTGATGTTAGCTGATAAAGAAATTTACAAATCAGCCCTGGGAGTCTGGATGAATTAGCTGAAGTTATCCACGCAAGACAGTATTTTGCTACTTTAGCTAGCAAGCAATTCATTCATGTTAAAGAGCAAGCTAACACTGGCTAACAGTAGCCAGCTAAAACCTTAATAACGCAATATATTTCGAAGAGGGATACTGACTTTAGGCTATGGGGACTGAATTTTAATTAATTTACTGTTTATCAGACAGAAAATTAGACAATAATTACCTAGCGTACACTGCCGTCCTTCCAGCTCACAGATTACTTTGCCAAGAGGAGAGCAGACGGCACAGTGTTGCCAAATTGGCAACATTCTTGCTAGATTTAGCTACTTTTCAGATCCTCTTAGCGATTTAATCAGACCATCAGCAATATGCAAATATAAGTATAACATCATCTGCCAACATTTAGCAACTTTTGGAGCTAGCGCTAGCTACTTTCATTAGAAAAGAGTTAGCAACACTGAGACAGCAGCTCTGGAGATGGACCTTCAGGGAGCAGAGCTCTGTAGATCAAATTCAACCAGCGCAAACTCCAGCGCTAAGTGAGGGTCCATCTATGGGGTGCTGCAGCAAAATTAATATCACTGAAACACAGCATGTGTAGACTCTGTGTTGAGGTGGGTGTTGATAGTCTGTTGAAGTTGGTAGACTCCATTTCCAAACTAACGTTAGCTACTGTTGCACAATGTTAGTGCTATAGGGGAGCTGAAGTGAGCAGCACTTGGAAATACGCAGAGGTGATATCGTTTTTATTTTTCCAGAAAATTTGCCCCAAATTCTTTCCATAGAAATCAGTCAATAGGCTGTTAGAGGCAACAGGAAGGGTCAGGAAAAGTCACATAATGTCACAGTTTTTACATTGGCATTAAACGTGATTAATAAGCAACATATAAAAAGTTGCATACAGAGCCATAAAAAAAAAAGAGCTGAAAGTTGCTAAAAACACCCGCTGTTAAAACTGAGAGGAAACTCAGTCAGATGATAATGATCTGTGGCTTTGTCACATAAGAGACACTTTCAGATTACACATTGATAATGCCAAAACATGTAGCACAGTTTTAGAGACACAAATAGATTTAAAGAAAGAAGTCTATTTACTCAAGTTTTTAAGCTACAGCCTCATTGAAGTGATTATTATCTGTGGTGACAGTGAAGGAACTGACAGTACTAGGAAAGACAAACATGACGGACCAGTGGGAATATTTTTATTGCTAAAACATGAAAAGAGATGGTGACATACATTTGTTTTGTTTCTCTGGTCCCTGCTGTGTGGTAAATCTTTGCTAAATTGCTTTGGGCCATTCATCAATGAACACCAGAGTTTGCAAACTGACAGATGGACTTTTTGACTGAGGAGGAAGTTTTATAGAAGATGGCAACGTAGATGAGAAATATGTTTTTATTTTAAAAACCAAATGACAGTTTTTCAACATTGAGAAACTGTCACGGCCCATCCTCTCGGTGACCACAGCTGTGGGCCATGTGGGCCACTGCATGGCACTGATGCACCACACGAGAGAAGCAATGAGAGAAAATCCACCAACACGCAACAAGACCACCATCATGCTGATGCTGAACTGCGTGATGATGATATTCAGGACCCGGAGCTTTAAGCTATTATGTTCAAATTAGTTGTTTGGCAGTGCTGGAGAACAAAGATGGCAGATGTAGATCGTGAACAAAACATGTCAGATTGTAAAAGACGGGATCAGATAACCAATTTCCACCTTAATGACACAATCCCAAAAGCACTGACGAACAAAACTGGACATGAGTCTTTCAAAGCAAAGTTTTGACTGTTTATTTTAATACTGGTGAAAAATTACAAAGCTGACTGTTAACTCTGTCTAAAACTGTAGTCATTTATCTGTTGTGCTTAAAACAACATTTCTATTGGGATAAGTTGGCCACACATCTGTTGTGTAATGTTCTGATTTATGCTTCTGAGGCGTTGCTCATTACGATTTCTCGCCAGGCTTCAATTACTGGGCCGAAAGCATCTCATTGGAATTAGCCTCAATAAAATAAGCATTTAAAAACTGAACCAGTTCACACGACAGTTCCTGGAGCCAATACGGGACACACTGAATCAATGTGCCAAAAATAAAAAGAAGGAAAACAAATCAGCCAATGTTCTTGAGCTGGTGACTGCAGACTAATCTTCCTCATTGAGGCCACAGCTTTGCTCCAAACTCAAAACACATGGTTATAATAATACGAGACCTCATTTTTCCCCCGCTGCCATGCAAACCAAACAAACATGTAATACTTTAATTTAGTCTCTGTATTAAATGTTAGGTTACTTATTGAAATAACTTCAGAGTGTCTGAAGGAAGCTGTTTTGCAAGGCGAGTCATTTTCCTCTGAAGGAAAACAGTGAGTGGATCAGGAGCTGGGCAGGTGCTCAAGGTAAACAGGTGTGTGATGTGAAAATTGCAAGTCTGTTTTTTCATGACAAGCTCTCTATCATATTAGAACTATCTTTCCCCCTCAGATGCATACATTTACAGTATATTCCAAACAGACTTTCAACCTGTTAAACCTGGCAAAAGCAAACTGAGCTAACAGAAGCGGCAGATCTCAATCATGAGGCACTGGTGCACTTCACAATGCAATGAGTCAATACCCCTTTTTCCACAGAGATTCCACATTAGAGCTGCTAAAAAGTCCCTTCATCACGCCACGTTTGCTTTTTTTACACAGGACCAAACAACGCATGCATAATGCCACCGCAGTGTGCGATCTTAGACAGCATGCTGACACCCTAGAAGCAAAAGAGGCAGGCATGACAGGTGTGATGTGTAACACAACAGTGTTGGCCCCTAGTGCGACATATAACATACGCGTCGGCAGCACTTTCTAAACAATAACAATCATTTGCCATCGCTCTCATATGGCGGCTGATCTCATCCTCTGCTCTGTGGGTAAGGAGCTCCCGGACCTCATTGTCTTGCCAGTTTGAAAAAACTTCAGCTGCTGTTCTTCTTCTTTGAGTTAGCTGCTAACTGCTTCTAGCTGCTATTTAAATCTCCCAGCAATGGGTCGTACACATAACACATCGTTAAAACGTCACACAAATCCCATCCATGGTCCCATCTTGCTGGCTGTTCCTTTTACGCAGAAGGTGCATTCACACCAGGATAGTCCAGGGGACTCGGTTTGATTGGGCGGGGAATGCCGAAAAATTTCACACCTTAATTTGGTTCGGTTCAATTTCACACTGCACTTTTTAAAGCGGACCAAACCGGATGGACAACGTCACACAGTTACAACAGCTGCTCATTTGGGGGCAGTATTGCCTGAAACAACCACTGACCAGGAAGAAAAAAAGCATGAGGAAGAAGAAAACCTGGCTCATCGATTGGCCAGGACCGAAAACCGAAATCCATACTCTTCAGAGATAGAGCAACACTAAATTTATGGGTTAACCGCCTGCACCTCCTCACTATTCCACGTCTGCCCATGAGACATTTTCCAACTTTTTCTTTTTACCTCTGCTTCACCTGGTTCACGCTGTTGGCTTTGTTTTGTTTTTTTCTACCCAAAATGCACTGCGCTCTACGTCATATCCTCTCTTTGGTTCACTTCCTCTCTTTGGTTTGCTGGGTAGTCCGTTTGCACCAGGGTTCACTTGCAAGTGAACCGAGATCCCCAGCAGGGTTCGCTTGTTTGGTCCGCACCAGAGTTCGAATGAGCGTTCACACCTGTCCAAACGAACCGAACTATCCATGGAAGCGGACCAGGGCGGACCACCTGTCATAAAGAACGGTATGATGAAATAACAGTGCAGCATTCCGCCTTGAACAGGCCGTGTAGCCTTCTTTACACTCTGTAAAAGGGACATCGCTTCATATGTCTTGGGCTGATTGAGTAGCTGTCCGATCTCAAAAAAGCTGAGTGTAAATGCATTCAAGACCAACTGAAACCTGAGATGAATTCTAGCCAGATGTCAAAGCTTGATTCTGATTGGATTGTCATTTTTAAATCAATATTTTGTGTGAGAGTAATGATTTCTTTAGTAAGCAGGCACTTAATAAACAGTGTTGTGCAAGTTACTGAAAAGTAGACAAGGCAGCTTTATTTGAATAGCAAATTTCATACACAAGAGCAATTCAAAGTGCTTTACAGAGCAATATATATATATGAAACATAATAAAACATACAGAAAAGAGTAAAGAAAAAATAGATATAAAAGATACAATTAATAAATGATTTACAATTTTAAAAAAATCGCCATTAAAAATAGCAAAAGTGCAGACAAGAAGTGCAAAGATAAAAAGATTATTTAAAATGATTTAAAATTGAGTTTTAAAATCATGTTGCAGTCACTACAGGGTGGAGTAGGCAGTGTAAAAAAGGAATGTTTTTGGCTTTGACTTAAAAGTAATCAGAGTCAGGGCTTGTCTAACATCATCTGGGAGGTTATGGTTTGTGCTGCATGATAACAAAACGCTGCTTCACTATGTTTTGCTCTGACTCTTGGGACGGTCAACAGTGTGTACCCATACCTATATTATTTTAGTGTTGCTGTTGCGCAGTGTGGGACAAGACAACTGTCAGATTCTATCTATGATTGTACCCATTATCCCGATGATGAAAAGTAAGTAGAGGAACAATAAAACATAATAAACACATGTTTTGATAGGGTTAGTTAATGTAGCTTTACCAGTCTTAAAAATTAAGCAATACTAGTCAGGTTTTAAGACTCTTTTGGACGAGTAAAATGAAATACCAACTGTTTCTCAGACTTCTGTCTGTTATTTTTTATCATGATATGCCTAATGAAATAAAACTACTAAGTTATCTACAAAAACATAAAAATACTGAAATGTATTCTTTGTAACATTAACTGTTATTTAATTCTTGCACATTAACTGGCGGGTCCCGTTGCACTCCGAGTAACGTAAATTTATTAATGACTTACAGAAACAGACCCACACATACACACAATGGAGGAACTAAATGCTTCTCGGCTGAGCCGCACATCACTACAGGTGACATTAGATGTCAGGTAACAAGTAATAAAGCCCATTTCTGCAACTATAACTGTGTTATTTACTTGAAGTAATCAGTTACATTACTAGTTACCACCCAAAGTAGTGGAATTACAGTAACAAGTTACTTCCAAATCTGGTAATAAGTGGGATACTGTACAGTGAGCAGGTCATTATTGCAGATTTTATGGCTTTGCATCACCCTGTCAGGGTTTATTTTGCAATAATGACCTGCTCGCTGTACATTATCCCCTACATGAATACATCCACCTCACAAAGACGCATATGTAATCTGGTTGCCTTATTAAAATAAGTACTAGTGCAACATTTTGAGGAAAATGCTTTCAAGCTTTCTTCCAAAGACTTAGCTCAGAAAATGATACCATTCTGATGTCTGTGCATTAAGTATAAAACTGTATGTTGGAAGGAATTAACATATAGCTTAGCATTAATTAGCCTGGCTCTCCAAAGCTCACAAATTATTATTTTACATCTCATTTTTTATACATACACAAATTGGTAAAAAAAAAAAAAAAAGGGGTTGTGAGGGAGTTAGCATACCTGCTGGAACTAACACGAGTTTCCTGGCAAACTCACAATGATGACATAATCTGTGGCTGTCTGCTGAGAAGTGGTTACAGCACCTGCTCTTTCTACCTTTCTGTTTGTGTTTGCAAATCTGCAAGGTGTAACAGCCACATTTATAGAACTAGTTTTCCTCTACTTCCTGTCTTTATGCCAAGCTAGAGTGATTGCTAGCCTTGGCTAATTGCTAATCCACCTCCAGAGCCTAGTTAATCTATTTACCTATTTTAGTCTCAGAAAGAGAGTGAATAATATCTTAAAACAAACTGTTCTGTGTTCCTGTGAGGACACGTAGACTTAAAACATCTGTTATATCTCTGCCGTGATAAATCAATGACCAGACCCACTCCTTTGTTCACAGCTTCCAGGAGAAGTTTGTGAAGTACCTCAGCAGGGACAAAAACAGGGTTCAGACTGTTCCTCCATTGTCTGTCGTGACTCTGCAGACGCTCTCGTGCATGGAGTGGGTCCTCACCCTCCTCGCTGCGGTCACTGCCAACAGAAACACTGTCTCCAGCTGGGTGACTCAAGGGTTCAAAAGGTCCATCCAGGCCCTTATTTTCAAGTCAGTGTCTTGAAAGTGCAGCGAGGGAACAGTAACACCAGTGTGTGGCCAACCTGTGGAAAACAGCAACCCAACATTTAAGATTCAATCAAGATGTCCTCCTATCCAAAGAATACTGACACCAGCATGAAAAAACAAGTTGTCTGACTTTTGAAAATCTTTTTGTTTGCTTTCTTTATGTTTTTAATTAAATGTTCACTTTGGGTAGCACTTATAAATCATCCGGCTCTGTCTCTGTGTGAGGACGTGAGGTTGGCCTTGAGCCTCATCACTGCAATCACAATTTCACAATTTGTGCATTTCAATCATCAGCCTGAGCACTCTATTTATTTTCAGAGTTACTTGCTGATTCACTACACACACTGCAGCAGGTGTGATCACAACACACACACACACACACACGCACAGAATAATGGTTACCTGAGCCAGAGTGAAAGGCCAAGTGTGTTTTTACAGCTGTCTACGTAATGAGCTCTTTGGGGGCCTGTCAAGTTAACGGTTAGCTAACGTCTCAAGTTGTGAGCGTATATGTTTAAGTGTGTGTGTGTGTGTTGGTCCAGGTTAGGTAATGTCTCTCTGTGTGTCACCTCCCATTCCTGACAGATTTAATGTCGTCATGACTGTAATTACACAATGTGACGAGGCAGAAGGCTGAGGAGAAAGCATGACATTTTAAAAAAAGGAATATAAAGAGAAATCAATCACTGTTCTGCACTGAGATCTGTTCATTTTAATCTTATCTAAAAGACATTAAGAAAAAAAGCTGGGAAAGGAACTGGTCTCCATTATGAGATCGTTGTATTAATGAGGTGTTACTGTAGCAGAGGGTTCACTTGCCAGTGCTGTAAATCTTACTAAAATGTAAGCAGTCGATGACCACTAAGAAAAACATGTCCATCAAGAGGCATTAGTGAGTCACATGGCTTTGCAAAATATATCATTTAGGAGACTCTGAGAATGAAAAAATCCCTTTGAAGTGTCACCATCATTTGTTTTCTGTTGGACAAACAACTCTGAAAAATAATCATTTCACAAATTATTGTAGCAACAGGTGTCACGATAAAAACAGCACTATTGTTTTTAAGGGCATGGGAGAACACTTATCAATATGAAAAATGAATAGTGTACCTTTAGGATCAGGCTTTCTTGTCATCTATGGAGACTTATAAGAGTGACCACATTGTGTAAATGCTGTGTAAATGTCTATTTACTATAGCTTTTCAATTGCACCACAGCTGACTAAATGTGACCTGACTATGCTGCAAACATAGTCAGCTATTAATATATATCGAGTTAAATTTCAGTATCCATCAGTTCTCATTTACAACGACATTAATCAGACTGTACAGCATTTAAACAGTAAAACCATTCAGGTGAATTCTGTGATTAGCCAGTGTTTTTGTGACCAACATAGGCAAAAAAAACCCTCCTGCAATGAAATAGTAGCTCAATATGATATTCAAAGCGTATGCGTGATTTAGATCTGCACACAGCTCTCAACATGGAGGTGGCTGAGCTGACGGCTAGCAGCTAATGTTTCTAACAGCAGGAACAGCGCTAATAATGGCAACAGCGCTAACAGGTCAACAGTGTTAACTCAGCTGACCTAGAAGGGCACGGGAGGGTGAGTGCTACGCCTCCGTGATGACACCGTTCCACCAGTGTGAGTCAGGATGGCATTATAACCGTATGTACACAGTGCAGAACAGTAGTGATTAGCTAGCCGATGAGATACACACACAGGGGCACACATGCACTAACATGCACATGCAGTCAGACTGTCTATCACAACAAAAAACAGAGAAGCTCAGATTACCACACATAGAGGAAACCTTACTTCATTCTAATACCCTGGTATACCTTAATACCCTGATACCATCCAAGCGCGGTATAGATCTCCTTTGATTAGATAAAACAGGATTACTAGTTACGTGCAGAAACCCAGCCATGTACAGGCACAACATCACATCACTGAGTCAGCAGAAAGCACCGGTGCTGTGTGCTGCGTTGGGCAGCAAACCATTACTCCATTACACTACATCACAGCTACTCAATCCACTTCACAGCCAATCAGGCTTTAAGTGTTCATGTGGAAAGAGGGAGAGAGGTGTTATATCCTGATCATTAATGACTCTCAGAAAAATAAATTGTGAAGTTAGAGTTTTCAGCCTGTTGCTAAGCCTCTGGGGCGAGAAAATTACACATCTATGAAGCGGTGAAATATATTCCACCTGGGAAAAGTCGGAGCTGGCAGAGGTTCCAGAGTGCACATGTGGCCTTGGGGTTTATGCTGGCTCGGCCTGGTGTTTTTCACCACAGCTATAGCATACCGTGCCCACACTTCTCACTTCACTTCCTTTGACTCTCGTTCTCTGAGTCTATATTGGAGATTTTCATGTTTTAACTTCATTCACTGCTGTCGTTTCACAGTAATTATACTACGCTCAGGTTGATTAAACCTTTACAAATCCCACGATAAAAACACTGCTGCTTTCCTGAGTCACCAAAAAGATGCCACACTAGCGGATTTCATCTTGACAAACATTTTCTGGCAATGACTGGAGATGCCAAGCAACTATAGTTAGCAGAAAACAACAATCATTAAGCTCCTCTAAAAATCCCCTTCCAGTGACCCCCGGCAATTTTAAAGTTCCCAAATATACCTTGTGAGTAAGTATGCGGTGTGCACAGCAAACCAAAATTAACAAGTGATTCCTGCCAACTTAAACAGGCCTTGGATCCCCAGCCCCCTTTTCCCATGTTACTCAAGTGAACCTCAGTTTGATGGCGGGCTGACAATCTGAAACACGAATCACTGCGTGTTGTTGTAACTGATAGAGTCTGGATGGTGCAGAGGCTGGAAAAGGCACTCTGAAAAGATGAATGAAACACTCATGTATGTAACCCCCACAGGAACTATCAAGATTACCTAACTGGAGCTTCAATTTTATACTTGAGATGTGGAAAGCTTGTATTACTACAGCTTTCCTTTTAGCTTTGTCAATCATCAGCTCACACATTTTCACTGTTAGAGCTGCATTCATACATTTTTTTTTTGCCACTTCAGTAAGCTCTGCAACAAGCTGCCAAACCCACAGCCCATATATTACACAGGCCCTCTGAAGTTGTTGCTTATGTCATAAGGCAGAAATATAATAGTTTATGGAGTGTACAGTTTTAACCAGGCATGTATTTTACAGCCTCTTCGAGTTTTCTGCCTTTGACTCTGAGGAGCTCTAACTACTAATCCCCTCCACCTGCACCATTGGTTTCACACGTAAAGAGTTGGACTCACCTATCAGAGAGATTCAGCCAGAATGATAGATGCTGCTGGGTCTGGCAGTCTGGCAACGTATCCAACCTTCTGTGGTGTAGATTTTAGCCTCGTCTTCTCATAACTGCAACACACATACTCACAATATCACTATAGATTTTGATAACACATATCATAGCAAAGGGATATAAGATAAAGTTCATTCATTCATTTTCTGTGACCACTTATACAGTTGGAGGTCTCGGGGGCTGGAGCCTATCCCAGCTGATATTGGGTGAGAGGCGTGGGACACCTTGGACAGGTCACCAGACTATCACAAGGCTGACACATAGAGACAGACATTCACCATTCACACTCACATTCACACCTATGGACAATTTAGAGTCACCAGTTAACCTGCATGTCTTTGGACTGTGGGAGGAAGCCGGAGTACCCAGAGAAAACCCACGCTGACACAGGGAGAGCATTCAAACTCTGCACAGAAGGGCTCCCTCCTGGGATCGAACCAGGAACTGTCTTGCTGTGAGGCGACAATGCTAACCACTGCATAATAAAATAAAGCATTAATAACAAATGAAGACATCATAGGCTGAGATTAACATAGATGGTTTGCACAGGTTGTGACTGTGTGTGAAACTAACACTTCCACTGGTGGTGCGGGTGACTGTTGTGGGAAGAGTTTGAGCTAGTTGTTCAAGTTTGAATATTGTTGAAAAACCAGGGGCCAGATACATAATACTCTGTGTAGATTCATGACTAAAACTCAAAGGCAAAAATAAGCATAAGAATTCTTGCTTATGTGTCAGATTTATAACACCATGCGCACACCCAGATTCTGTTTTATAAATCACAATCAGTCTGGCACTGGGCACATGTGCACAAGCCTCATTTCCACACCCACAGTTTGCCATAAATGAATGTAAAAATGCCTTTGCACATACTTGTGAGAAAAACAGTAAAGAAAGAGCCATTTTACTGACGGCGAGGTTCTAAAACTTTGCAAGGACAGCTGTAATTACACATGGTTGTGGTGATTTGTAGCATCCGTACTATTAATTACATTTCTGCGAACCGCTGTCTCTGTAAAATCTCGATCATTATCATTATTATTAAACGTCCGAAAGATGACTGATGATTCATTCAGAGGGCTCATGTTCAAAAACACTTTACAAGGTGCTTTACAGGATAACATTAAACAATCACTAACAGGGAGATGAATGTTAATAAAAGATTATGATGAAATGTATAACACAAAAATTATGTTAAACAATAATTCTGACACAATAACTTAAATGTGAAGTTCAGGTTTTATTTCAGAAACAAGTCCTGTTTTTCCTTTGAGGCCAGAAAAAGACTGGTTGCTGCTACGTTTTTACATGTTCTGGATTATGGTATTTTGTTGTACATAAACACATCTGCACAGTGTTTGCACATGTTAGATACTGCATATCATAGTGCACTGAGATTTGTTACAAATTGTAAATCCCTCACTCATCATTGTGTGTGTTTTATTCCAGGGCTGGTTGGCCAGCTTTGATATTTTGTAGGCTCAATCACTGGTATTTGTTCAATTACAATGCCATAGTGGGTAAACTCCCTTTGTACATTTGTACTTTAACTGAACATAAATCTGACTGTAGCTATAGTCAAGATTTAGTTTTGTTGTCTGTTCCTCGTGCACAAACTGTGCTGGGAAAGACAGCTTTTATATGCTCTGCTATAGTTATATATATAATAGTTATATTATTTTGATCACATGTAGACTGCCAATTTTATTTATCTTTACAAAGTAGTTTGGCCAAATTATCTTTAAAAAAAAAGTATCTAGTTAACCAAACTAGATTCCTCCCTTCTTCCTCCAGTGTGAAATAGCTGGTACCTTTCAGAGCTATGATTTTGCTTCCCCAACACTCATTACAGACCCTTTCAACCTTGATAACATTATCATTCTTCTTCCTGTTGGAATATCTTCCGTGTGTTAGTGACGTCAGCTGACAGGAAGTAAACATGGAGTCAAGCTGTTGCCTAGCAATGTGTCTTCAGTGAAACTGTGATTCTCCTCTGATGTCTTTGCCAACTTGTGGTCCCGTAAATCCCCTTCACATGACATACTGTGACTAATTAACTTTAATTTGCTGCAACTGTGAGGCTTTCTTTATAGTTGGCGGAAGGCTAACTGTTAGCAACATTCAAATAGCCCGACCTGCTTTCATACTATCGCTACCAAACACACAACCTCACAAACCACTACATTAACTCTCGATACTACAGGTAAATGAAGTTTGTAGCTTATCTGTTAACTTACCAGTCGATGAGGAAAACTGCGAGCTGTGAATCCAGTTTGAAGCCCATCCTGTCGCGAAGTTCTCTCCACCTCTGAAACGCTTCTCCGAGATTAACTCGAGTTTTATTTCGTTTATTGTCAGACTCTCTCTTTGACTGTCTTTTAGACAGGTCCGTCTTTCTCTTTTTGGGTTGTTTGGCAGTGTAAGCAGTTGTCGCCAGGGCTGGGATAGCAATTTTCCCTGCAGGAGTATTCGCCATTGAGTCAAGTTTTCATCCGGAGAAACTACTTTTTCTTCTTCGTCGATGTTTTTTTTGGCGGATGTAACTTTTAGGTGCATATCGCCACCTACCGTACCGGAGTACGCAAAACAGTATCTTGTATACAGTCAGGTCCATAATTATTTGGACAATGATACAGTTGTCGTCATTTTGGCTCTGTACACCACCACAATGGGTTTTTAATGAAACAATGAATACCTGCTTAAAGTGCAGACTCTCAGCTTTCATTTAAGGCTTTTTTCAAAAATGTAGTATGAACCGTGTAGGAATTACAACCATTTCTTCACACAGTCCCCCAACTTTAAGGGCTCATAAGTATTTGGACAAACTAACATAATCATCAATTAAACAGTCAGTTTTAATACTTGGTTGTAAATCCTTTACAGTCAATGACTGCCTGAAGTGTTGGACACATAGGCATCATCAGATGCTGGGTTTCTTCCCTGGTGATGCTCTGCCAGCCCTTTACTGCAGCCGTCTGCACTTCCTGCTTGTGTTTTGGGTGTTTTGCCCTCAGTTTTGGCTTCAGCAAGAGAAACGCATGCTCAGTTGGATTCAGGTCAGATGATATGACTTGGCCATTGCAGAACATTCCACTTCTTTGCCTTAAAAATGTCTTTGGTTGCTTTTGCAGTATGCTTCAGGTCAATGTCCATCTGCACTGTGAAGCATCGTCCAATGAGTTTTGAAGCATTTGGTTGAATCTGAGCAGATAATGGTGCCCCAAACACTTCAGCTTTCATCCTGCTGCTCTTGTCAGCAGTCACATCATCAATAAATACAAGAGAACCAGTTCCACTGGCAGCCATACATGGCCATGACATAACAGTACCTCCACCATGCTTCACTGATGAGGTGGTGTGCTTTGGATCATGAGCAGTTCCTTCCCTTCTTCCTTCTCTTGTCTTCCCATCATTCTGGTAGTTGATCTTTGTTTTATCTGTCCATAGTATGCTGTTCCACAACTGTACAGGCTTTTTAGATGGTTTTTGACAAACTCTAATCTGGCCTTCCATTTTTAAGGCTAACCAATGGTTTGCATCTTGTGATAAACCCTCTGTATTTATTCTAGTGAAGTCTTGTCTTGCTTACAAGAGCAGCAGGATGAAAGCTGAAGTGTTTGGGGCACCATTATCTGCTCAGATTCAACCAAATGCTTCAAAACTCATTGGACGATGCTTCACAGTGCAGATGGACATTGACCTGAAGCATACTGCAAAAGCAACCAAAGACATTTTTAAGGCAAAGAAGTGGAATGTTCTGCAATGGCCAAGTCATATCATCTGACCTGAATCCAATTGAGCATGCGTTTCTCTTGCTGAAGCCAAAACTGAGGGCAAAACACCCAAAACACAAGCAGGAAGTGCAGACGGCTGCAGTAAAGGGCTGGCAGAGCATCACCAGGGAAGAAACCCAGCATCTGATGATGCCTATGTGTCCAACACTTCAGGCAGTCATTGACTGTAAAGGATTTGCAACCAAGTATTAAAACTGACTGTTTAATTGATGATTATGTTAGTTTGTCCAAATACTTATGAGCCCTTAAAGTCGGGGGACTGTGTGAAGAAATGGTTGTAATTCCTACACGGTTCATACTACATTTTTGAAAAAAGCCTTAAATGAAAGCTGAGAGTCTGCACTTTAAGCAGGTATTCATTGTTTCATTTAAAACCCATTGTGGTGGTGTACAGAGCCAAAATGACGACAACTGTATCATTGTCCAAATAATTATGGACCTGACTGTATATTCAATAGGAATGAAAAAAATAAATAAATAAAAAAAGTAAAAGTATATTCTATTCAACCAAGAGTGTTTATTAGGAAATGTATTACACCCCTCTGAGTTCTCACACCTCCTCTGCATTTGTTCCTAGTATCCCACCTAAATTCCATCCTTGTCCTGCCTCTCATACCCTCTGTTGTAATCAGCCATAACATTAAAATCACTGACAGGCGAAGTGAATCACCTTGTTACAGTGCATTGTTCTGCTGGGAAACTTTGGGTCCTGGCATGCATGTGGATGCTACTTGACACACTCCACCCACCTGAACACTCTTGCAGACCAAGTAACCAAGGGGGTGCTGGTCTGCACTGGTGTTTAAGTGGGTGGATCATGTCTGGTGGCACTCACGTGAATGCCAGGCACCAAGCCAGTATGATCAAACCTTAAGCTGGATATAACTACGTCCTCTCTGCTACTGCTTCCTTTGACACTCTGTGCTCTTAACTGTCTTCTGTACCTCATAGTATGTTCTGCTCTTACTGCCCCTATCCCATCTTTTCTGCCAAAGTCCTGATATTTTCTTTTTGATTAGTGTTCTACCTCTGTTAGGGTTTCAGCTTTCCGTTCCCCCTTTCTAGTGTCTCATGTTTGTTTTCAGTCTGTCTCTGCGTGTTGGCCGGGCCTGGCCTTCTGGTTCCCTCCTCCTGCCAATCCTCCTGAGTGCCAGCAGCTGCTGAACCTGCACACCTGAACCTCATCTACAATCAAGCCACCGCGGTGTAGAAACCCTGGCTCAGACATCCACACTCTGCCAGATCGTTCAGTCATCACTGCCAACTTCTAGTTTTTTCACACTTTGGGGTTGTTTTTTTGTACTTCTGGACACCAATTCACACTGTGTTCTGTGTCTCGGGTTCACCACGCTAGCCTAAACTATAATCCGCCACATCCAGCCTCATTCTCATCTCCTGCCTCCAGATTTGGACTGCTCTGCCTTCAGCTAATCTGCCTGCTATGCCTTGCCATTCCTAGCCCACCTCCACCATCATTTCATACAAGTCTTCAGCTCCTTCTTCAGGTGCCTTTAACCATTCCCTCTTTCCTGGTTGTGTTTGCATTTGGGTCCTGAGTTGAACTCCCACAACAACCCTCCCCTTTTCCAAATGAAGTGTCTATTATATGTCTCATGTTGCGTCACCTTTCAGCTAGCCTGCCTGCAAATGAATTCCCCTTTAACCCTACATGTGTGGGCACCCAACAAAAATCAAACATCAGCATTAGCTTTAGCTTTAGGAAATAGCCATGGGGGAACATTGCTTATTGGAGTAGGGGAATTAAAATGCTTTTTTTTATATAATATTTTTCTGATTTATCTTTTATATTCCATCCAAAACCATTCCCTCAAATTTATTTTACTCCCAGCATTCTTTTATGACACTTTTAGTGGTGTTTTCATCCCCACATCCTTTAAGACAAATCCAGTGAGCTAATGAAAGTTTATCCCCTCTGAGCTCTACTGGGATTTCTCCTGATTCTACCAGCACAGCATGAGTTGGAGTTGACCTCATTGCACCAATACTAAGTTCCAGGCCATTGTTTTATGGTACGTTTATTTTAATTAGGAGAGATTTGGCTGCTGCCTCTTAAATAAACACCTGTCGATTGCTGATCTCATCAATGCCCTATTTATGTCTATTAATTCCTCCTCATCTGCTACCCATTTATATCCAGATATCATTCTAATTAGGGTAACAACTTTTACAATGTAGTTTCTACTTTTTATTTATTATTGCTCTTCTGTTCCAGAGTTCTTAAAGACTAAGTCTCAACTCCCATTTTGGCCACTTCTTCCTATAACTTTGTTTGTTGTGGGCTCAGCTGGCACTGAAGCATGTTGCACGGGCTCCATCACTCTACATTTCATACATTTCCTATCCTTGCGTTTCCACTCCACAGACAGTACTGTTCGTAATATGATTTCATGCCAGCCTGAATGACATTCATCGGGTTATTGTCTTATCAGTCTCCCATGACTTGAGTTTGTGTTTGCAGGAGCTATGTAGTCGTGGTGACTAAAAACCGGTCTCACCGTTGAAACTTAGCGATGGATCCGGTGGACGTGCCGGCAACAATAACAGATGGTGTGCACCACTGGCGTATGCAGGCATAGTAATGGTGCAGACCCAGTGCCCCAGCCTTAATCTACACACTGAAGGGACGTGCACGAGCATCTGCATTTGTAGAACAGGCAACAGGAAATAACCCGTGATTGGCGGAAGTCTCCTGTCACGGCCTAGACTTTCTAAAGTCTGGAAACAGAGCTAAGTGGAGGTGCAGACGTCTACTGTCCTTGCAGACCATTTGATTTCAAATATGAATTAATATAGCATACCCCAGCTTTAATAGGCAGAGATGCTCCCCTCCAGCAAAAGAAAGAGCAGAGCATGTGCTCAGGACTGAAACTGGTGCAGGTGCAGAGGATTAGTAATTAGAGTTTTTCAGAGTGGAAAGCAGAAAGTGCTGTAAAATACATGCCTGGTTTAAACTGTACACACTAAAACATGCAATAAATAACATAATAAATAAATAAATAAAATCACACTCTTAATCATGCAATAGATGGTCCTAGCAAACCAGGTACAAACACATAAGTATACTATCCAATATTTCTGCCACATGACACTTGGTCCATCATGTAGAAACTGAGCAACACTTATTTGGAGTCTTTATCTTAAATGATGTCAGAACACCCAAATTCATCACAATGTGTTAGCAGCAGTTTTTTTAGTCATGTCATGATACCTATTGGTACACAAAACTGGTAGATCGGCCCATTAGTCATGATTGATTCTGGGCTGGACCAATTACAGCCGAGGGCCGATGCCCCCTCCCACTTGGGCCTCGGCTGCCAGTCAATCAATCATACAGACTAGAGAGAGAGGAGACTGACAAAATTGAGAAGAAACTCAAAGGCGGTGCGGAAAAAATAAGAGAGAAAAAGAGACAAGCCCTTTAGGAAGATGCTGCCAAATGTGTTAAAATAACAGATGTTTGCTGGCTGTGGCGGAGCTTCTTCAGCGGCAGCATCAGTGACCGCACCCGCACTGGCATCCAAAGCAGCCGCAGCAGGTAATGAGGTGAAGGGGAGGCAGGAGGAGGAGACCCGCGGCCGCCGCATTATATGACGACGGCACCGTCGGTGCGACTGGAGGGGAATTTGAACTTCAGGTAAGAAGTGATGAACAGCAGTCTACCTGGGTCAGATATGAATCAAGTTTGGTTGATAGTTTATCTTCGTTGTGCTTGCTAACTCTTAACACAGCATAGTTATGTGTAGGCCATTTAACAATTTATCTGGCTGTTGAGCAGCATGACGGGGTTTCTCTACTGCTGGGCTGTTTCTATGATGTTATACTAGTGATAGTGATCTTAGTGCTTCAGTAACTTTATTTTATTCATTTAGTTAGTTAAGTATAGTCTTTATTAGTTAGGCAGTAAAATATTTCAATGTCTATTAATTGGTATAAGTGCACTATGCAGTAATTCTTTACTCTGAAACAGCTAAAGCTCAACAGAGCAAAAATGTTCATGTAAAACCAAATGATAAGGCTAGTATTCATCATAAACCCTCTACACTTGCAGATATAATTTAAATTGAATCAAATTAGGATTTGCCAGGAGATGTGATGCTGCTCATTAACAGAAAAGTGGCTTGGAGTTAAAAGTAACTACTTAAATGTATTTGTCTTTTATACATAAATATCCTCTTTATTCTAGATAAGTTGTGTTTTTATCTTATTGTTTTTTTTACTGACATGTAACAGCAAACTCTTGTGGACAATAATTACCTGTATTTTGTTTTTATCGTGGGCATGTTTCCATTCAATTTAAAATATCCCTTCACGTTTTAAAGGTTGCCATGTTTGAGGAAGTATTATGTGTTGCTGTGCTGTTTATTGATGTGGTGAGTACACAGTCTATGAAAATATTACTAAATCTGTCATTTATTCATTTTAATATTCATCAATGATCATGTCTCACCTCTATTCCTCACTGTCCAATTTTCAGGATCCCATTATACGTTGTTCATTGTTCAGGAGGTTCACTAGACCAAGCAGCCTTTTGGGTTCCTCTAAGTAAGTATTGTATAGAATAATGGGACTGGGAGGATGGTGTAGGTTTAAATTTATTAGACAAGTACATATACACCAACAAGACAGTGTACAAGCGGTGTCACAAGAAAGTTTGTTTTCATTCATAGGCTTCATTGTCTTTCCATCAATACCTGGTGGGCCGGACTAGGCTCAAAATGCCCGGGCCGATTTTTTGTCCCAGTCCAGCCCTGAATTACCCTCTAATAAACACAGGAAAATTTGTGATATAAACACATATCGCTAACTTTCAAATTACTTCCTGTGCTTCAGGTCAAATATAAGTTTCTATAGCTTTCTACAGACAGATGACCAACATGCATATTAAGGGCAGATGAATCACAATGACTTAACAATGCTTTGTCAGTCACTTGTCATGTGTGTGGTTTTAGTGAATATACAGTCCCTCTCTTCTCTCTGTTTCTTCCATTCTCCTCTCAGTCCCTTTGCTTTCTCAGCGTGTGTCTTCTGTGGCTGCATGTGGTGACATCTGTTATACTGTGCCCTGTCCAACAGTTTAGGAACAGTGGTGATTTATGGCTCCACATGTGGGAATAGTTTGTCTGCAGGAGGTCTCGCTCGCCACAAACAGAGAAATGGTGCTGGTTCGTTTGACAGGGTTTCTACAGCGTTAAGATATACTGTGCAGGATTTTCCTAAAAGACCAAAACAATGTATAGATTCACACAGAGGTGATCCCTCTAAATCATCACTTATGATCATCTAGAAGTCTGGGTGGTGTATTTTTCTGCAGAGACTCTGCATGTGCTTGTATTTTCTTATTTTCTGTGCTCAGGATATTTATGGGTGTGTACCCCCACAGTGCTCAGGTGAGATTGGGGCTTTATATAAAGTTAGCATCTAAGAGAGACAGCGCAGAAAATACGGAAATAATTACTATTATTAAGAATGAGCTAGTTGGACCTTCTCTGGTTGAAGATGCCAGTTTTTAGAAGATACTTACTTTCAACAGTGGTACAGGAAAATGTCTACATCATTCAAGAAGGCCATGACTTTTATGCAGGACAATGCTCCAACACATGCATCCAACTTCTCCACAGCGTGCCTCGCCAGCAAAGGCCTTAAAGATGACAGAATAATGACATGGCCCCCTTCCTCACCTGACCTAAACCCTATTGAGAACTTGTGGGCCCTTCTCAAATGTGAGATTTACAGTGAGGGAAGACGATACACCTCTTTGAACAGCATTTGGGAGGCTACTGTTGTTGCTGCAGAATAGTTCTGCATGCTAATAGTTGTCTAATAATAGTGCACACATAGATATTCTCCTGAGAAAGCCAAAACTCACGCAGAGTAAAACAGGAATTTTTTTTGTCATGTGGCAGAGACAAGGGCAAAACAGAACCGTGAAATACCTGGCGATAGTGGGAAGTTTTATTGGCAATTGGTCAAAAAAGAATAAAATCATACTTCCCACGTCTGAGCATTTTAAAGACTTTTGATAGATTGATTCAAGGCATTTTAATACCATTTAAGGCCTTATATTTAGATTAATGAATTCAACATCTTTTAATACTTTTTAAGGATCTGCAGGAACCCTGGTTTGAATAACGCCTGACACGTGAAGAAAACATTCAGATATTCAGACCTATACGAGTCTAATCCTGGATTTTATACCAGCCACATTTTCCTCCTTCACAGATCAGAAACAGCAGCAATTTGACACTCTTGCCTCAAGTTTCGGAGGTGAAAACAGTGAGTGATTTAGAGCAAATGTTCCATGCTCATAAGTAACACTTATGAGGACTGCAGGAATAAGGGATTTGGGTGGATTCTTGAAGGAAGTTTTTGTTGCGGATCAGGTTCCTAACATCCCGCAAGGCCTGTCATGTTCCAGCACTGAGAAGGAGAGAGAAATGTGAAAATATGAGTCAGCAGGAGATCAGGGCCGCCTGCTGCAGAGAGGTTATCAGCTGTTTTTCTACAATAACACACCCACATACGCCTGTTTCAGACATTAATGTTGACTGATTGTCACGTTAAAATATTCGGAGAAGTATTTTTAAGAGGATAAATGCCTTTATGAAGCATAAAACAGGCGATTTTGGGCTTAGTGAACGTATTATTTTATCACATTAACACTGACTTTTGGACATTTGTACCCTACTATAAGCTGCAAAAAGTTTATTCTTGGTCACATTTATTGTATGGTGGAGTACCTATGTTAAAACAACAGGCTAAATCTAGACAAACCAATTGAAACCTCAAAAATCTAACGGGAGGGGTTTGACATCTGTTTTGTATTAATGGTCGCTCCCTTCCCCTCACAGGGCAACAATAGCACTCTGCTCTGCAAGTACAGCGGGACACTTACAACAACCAGTCCATTAAAAAAAGCTTTATTGAAGTTCGATGCAATCCAGTCGCATTTCATTACAACACACAGGTTTACAAAAATAGCACATTTCCTTTTTTTGTAAGACGTATTTTCAGTGATATAAAAAGGTTATTTATGTGTGTATCATAAGACCCAAACACTCTTATGAGTCATTACTCTGCTATCAGTGTTAATAGTAGAAACTGAGGCAAATGTGACACTCCTGTTGCAGAGCTGCAACTTGGTTTTTCTTTTTATTACGTGACATGTTAAACATTATCATTCATTTGTGTGTTAAATGAGTTTTGTGACATTCCTAGCCTTCATATATCCTAAAAAAATTGGTTCAACATATTGTGAAATATGCTTTTCTTTCTTTCAAAGGTTAAATGAGAAAAGTGCCGGGGCCAGAGTCAATTAGCTTAGCTTAATGTAAAAATTGTAACCTGTAGGAAACAGCTACAGTCAGTCACTCCCCTTAATCATATATAGACCATTTTACAATTTTATTTGTGTTTAGATTAAAAGAACAAGGTTCCTCTTTACCCCTGCTTCCAGTCTGTATGCTAAGCCAGGCTAATCACCTCCTGGCTCCAGCTCCACGCACAGACATCAGAGTGGTATCAACTAACGTTGGTGTTTACAATGATTCTCAACCTGTCTCAACCTTGCTCAGTCTGCCATACCAACATGCTTCAAGAAGTCCACCATCATTCCTGTGCCCAAGAAAATGACTACCGCCCTGTGACACTCACCTTTGTAGTGATGAGGTGCTTTGGTCGGCTGGTTAAGGATTGCATCTGGTCCTCACTAACCAGCACACCGGGCCCACTACAGTTTGCTTATCGTCTCAACCGATCTACAGAAGACACCATAGCGCACATCCTCCAGACCAACCTATCTCACCTGTAAAAGAAAGGGAGCTCTGCGAGATTGCTGTTCATTCACTACAGTTTAGCGTTCAAACCATAGTTCCCTCCAGGCTGGCCACAAAGCTCAAGGAGCTGGGATTAAACACCTCACTGTACATGTGAATCTTCCACCTCCTGACAGGCAGATCCCAGGTAGTGAGAGTGGGCAGACACAACTCATCCACCCTCATCCTTAACACCGGAGCACCCCAGGGCTGCGTTTTGAGCCCCCTGCTGTACTCCCTGTACACACACGACTGTGTAGCCACTTTGACTCCAGCACCATCATCACATTTGCTGATGACACAGCTGTAGTTGGCCTGATCAAAGATAACACTGAAAAGGCCAACGTGACACAAGTAGAGGACCTGATCTGCTGGTGTCAAGACAACAACCTACTCCTGAATGTTAGCAGAACGAAGGAGATGATAGTGGACTTTGGGAAGAAGCAGGGAGGGTGTTACGCCCTTCTTTATATCAGCGGGTGAGTCCTCAGTGGAGAGGGAGGATAGCTTTAAGTACCTTGGCGTCCACATTGCTGAGAGCCAGAGACTGTTTTATCTTAGATGCCTGAGGAAATTCCAAGTATCTCCTTAAATACTGAGGAATTTCTACTCCTGCACCACCAAGAGCATCTTGGCGGGGAACATCACTGCCTGGTGCGAAAATAGCACCAAAGACTAAGGACTACAAGGCCCTGCAACGCTCCACTGAACACACTATAGAGGCACCGCTCTACACCTAGTTTGTAAGGATGTTTACAGCAGGCGCTGCAAAAATAAGCCTCATTAAAGATCCCAACCACTCCGATTACAGCCTTTTCTCCCTGTTGAGGTCAGAAACCAGGCCAGAAGGTTAAATGACCACAAGGTTCCTAAATTAAGACCCTGCCTAAGACACCCCTCCCATAGACATATAATTATTGTTATAACACTGTTTTAAATGCACAAATTGTAGAAACTGACAATACATTTCACTAAAATTGTATTAATATGATTTAAAATGACAAATAAATTGATTGATATATTTTCTCGTCAAACTCATAGAAAGAAAAGAAATGAGTGTATTTCCCAAAATGTTCTCATAAACGTGTCAACAGGACTCAACAAGAAAGTTACTTTCTTCATTCCTTCTAGCAACAATAGAGGCAAATGTTGCATACCATGTAAAACAAAGATCATCAGAGCCCAAATTCAGAGGCCATAAATTCTGCAACTTCTTCAAACACAGACCATAAAAGTTTTGCCCGTACCAAAAATCCTTCAGAGTACCTGCTCTGAAATGCCATAAGATAAACAAACTGACTTCAACTTTGCACTTTAAGAGACACCAAAGTGCCATCCATCAATAAACGATGATTCGATACATACACAATGTAAAAACACAAAGAGATATTTTTTTCTGTGCCCATATACTAGTGCATGGGATTGCAAATCTTTGAGTAGTCTGAACGGGAAACACCACTACTTTAGTCCAAATCTGTGGTTAACAGCTCTCCTATTTATTATGCCTCGGGAGGTTTTGGTGGCTTGACAATAACCTCAAACATTTTCTTTGCTTCCAGTACATTCAACTAGGCAAGACCTCAGCTTCAATATGTTTTCTATTCCCAATAATCTCGTCACACAAGACAAGTTTTTAATTCTCGTAAAATCTCATACTGTCATCATATATGGATGGAGATTGTTGTCTTTGGGTTTTCTTTGGCTTTGGAGGACAAGGAAACACTCATCAGAAGTAGTGATGAGACCCATTTGTTGTATGATGGCAGTTTTCTTCAATGAAATTCAAAGTCTGTCCAAACACAGTCCATTTCTGACCTTAAGAACCCTTCTTTTCCACCTCAGACCATCAGTCCAGTTCTGTTTTTTACTTTCTAGACCTTTCATGTGGCTGTGTCATAACATCAAGAGGAAGCCTCCTTTAAAGCCCCATCTCAACTCTGATTTGTTGCATTTGTTCATAAAGATAAAAATCTCAAATGTCGTACATAATCCCACAGAAATGGATTATCCTGTCTCCAATCCTTTCATCAGTCAAGAACCTTCGTACCAGACAAATCACCTCTGAGTCTACATCTTCGTCCATCTTTCTACTGTCTCTTCGAGTCAGTAGCAGGTGTCACGGTCCGCTGCCAGGTGTTGATTCGGTCATGGCATACGGCGACCCTGGAGGTCCAGGGGTTCCTGGTGGTCCAGGTGGCCCTACTGGCCCTGGTTTTCCCCTTGGTCCTGCTGGCCCAATGATGCCCGGCAGTCCTGCCTGACCCTGGATCCCTGGATTCCCTGAGGGTCCTGGAGGGCCTTCCAAACCTGGAAGGCCATTATCACCTTTCTCACCCTTCTCACCACGTGGTCCTGGTGGGCCAAGAGCCCCTTTAGCTCCTTTGACGCCTACTGTCCCCCTATTGCCAGTGGGGCCTGATTCACCTGTGGGTCCTCTGGGCCCAGAGGCACCCTTCTCTCCAACAGTTCCACGGACTCCAATGGGGCCTCGGTCACCTTTGCTCCCAGTCAGTCCCTGTGGTCCTTTTGAGCCGGTCTCGCCACGGTTCCCTTTCGGCCCTGGTGGTCCAGGTGCACCTGTTGAGAGAGTACAGGGGGTTAAGTTAAAGAAATAAAGAGTAAAATAATATGAATATAAAATATAATATTAAACATCTAATGTACCTTTTAGTATGGTGAAGTTCTTTATAAGCTGGATATGGTGAACATCCACAAGCTTCATCTCCTCCATCACCATAGACAGGTTCCTGATGTCCACATCCAGTCGAACATTCAGTAACATGTTTTGCTGTCTCAGTGTGTCGGCCAAGTGGAGGAGTAACAAGACAGTGTTGTTCAGGTTCTACACAAAGAGAGGAGAAGGAGGACATGAGGATAAAGAAAGTAGAAAGAAATTAGAATCTATGTGTCTCCTGCCTAAATTCGGAGGTTTCTGCAGGTCTGTGAACGCAGTGCAGGTGGAGCTCTTGATTTGTTTATTTTTCCTCAGCAGCACATTGTGGAGTTTGATTAGTATGGTAGATAACTGAGCAGTCTATCTAATCACAGCTGATCAGATCAATAGATAAGAGGAGCAGCTGCTGCAGAGGCAAGTGAAAGCAAATTTTGAGAATCAGTGAACGTCAATGAACGGTTTCACTTTTATTGCACCATCTGTGCCCTGAGTACAATCGGTGGTTTGAGAGTGTGGTGCTAGGAATAACCGAATAGTATATATTAGGGGTGTAACGGTACACAAAAATCTCGGTTCGGTACGTACCTCGGTACACAAGTCACGGTTCGGTTTTTTTCGGTATAGTAATGAAAAAAATAGACAACTATTAAATATCTTTTACTTATTGGTAACCTTATTAAAACATACCACCACAGCAGTTAACTCTTTTTACACAATTTTTGAATGAAACAAATATATATAAAATCCTGCTTTTTCACATTGTTTGAATGAAAATAGAAATATAAAAGTGAAAAATAAAATCCTGCTGTTTTTTTTAACACATTTTTTGAATGAAAAATATAAATATACATTTCTGCTT